ATTTATTCATAAGGAGAATTTAAGAATTATTTGTTGGAACATTTCTGAGCCATTCGAGGAGGAGACCCCCAAGAGCAGCTTTTTTCCTAAACTCAGGAGGGAATAGTCATGAAATATCGGGAGAAGTTTGAGCTATTGTCAGGTAGGCTGAGGGGAATTTTTGAGGATGAGTTGGAAGGAATTTCATGATGGGCCTTGAGGAAGACATACGAGCAGAGCTCTGGATGTTAAGGACTAGAGGGCTTTGAGAGACAACGGAGCTAGCATAAAAGGTAGAAGAGAAATATCAGAGGGAGGTCATAAGGAGCAACACCATAGAAGGAGCTTATAGGAATGCCTCAATAACCCTGGCACTGAGGACCCAGACGTTGTTATTTCAGAGGGAGGAGCTAAATGATAAGAGCAATGGAATTCATATAGGAGGCAATTTCAAGCTCCTTATAGATGCAGAGGTGTAGGATAGGAGGGTAAAAAGATTATGCTTCAGGTGTGATGAGTGTTTGTATCGGGACATAGGTGAAAGAATCGATCCCTTCAAGTCTTGATGGTTTGTGAAGGGGAAGAGGAGAGTGGGGATGAGCTAGAGGAGATTATAGGGGAAACATAACAATTACATCTAGACTTGGCAAAGGTGTCCCCAAACTTCGTGGTGGGAGTTACTCCAAATCACACCATGAATGTGAGAGGGCAAATCGGGGAACAACCAGTAGTGATTTTGGTGGACAGTAGGGCAACACATAACTTCATCTTAAATTAGTTTATGGATTGATTGAGGTTGAAGTTAATGAAGACAGAAGGATGTAGGGTGATGATGAGAACATGTAAGATAGAGAGGAGTCAGAGAATATGTAAATGGGTGGTGATGAACTTATAGGACATTCAAGTGGTGGAAGAATTCCTTCCCCTAGACTTGGGAAGCATGGTTGTGATTTTTGTGATGATGTGACTACAAATCATTTTGGGGTTAATGAAGGTGAACTTGAAGTCTTTGACCATGGAGATGCAGGTAGAGGGGAAGAAGGGGGGGGGGGGGGGGGGGTTAATGAAGGTGAACTTGAAGTCTTTGACCATGGAGATGCAGGTAGAGGGGAAGAAGGAAATGCTTTGAGGGGACGCTAGCTTATGCAAAACCATGGACGCTAGCTTATGCAAAACCATGGTATCGCTTAAAACCATGCTTAGGACAATCCAGGGTGCAAGCTTGAGGAACTTGGTGGAGTTACATAACATAGATGGGGTCCAAAAACAAGAGGCAAGGGACATCCCAGTAGGGGTCTAGCAGATTCTGCACTAGTATTAGAACATGTTATGGCAACCTATCGGGTTACTACCACCACAAGAGCATGAGTATGCCATCAACCTAAAAAAAGGGGACCTCTCCTATAAGTGTCAGGTCATACCATTGCCTCCAGATTCAGAAAGATGAGATAGAGAGGCTGATCAAGGATATGATGGAACTAGGAATCATTAGGCCTAGTGTGAGCTATTTCTCTAGTCTAGTTCTGTTGGTGAAAAAGAAATACTATAGTTAGAGATTTTGTGTGGATTATAGGACTCTAAACAATGAAACAATACTTGATAAATTTTTCATCCCAGTGATTGATGAACTCTTGGATGAGTTATTTGGGGAAGTGATCATCTCCAAGATTGATTTGAAGTTGAGATACCATCAAATCAGGATGGAGATAGCTGATGTGCACAAGACGACCTTTAGATTACATAAGGGGCACTATGAGTTCTTGGTTATGCCCTCTGACCTCACCAATTCCCCTGTCACGTTTCAATCCCTCATGAATAGAGTGTTCCAGTAGCACGTTAGAAGATTTATCTTGGTATTATTTTGATGACATCTTGATATACAGTAGGCAGAAACATAACACTGGGAACACTTAAAGACAATAATGGATACCTTGATACAGCATTAGTTTCTTTCCAATTGGAATGAGTGCTCATTGAGGTAATCACGGGTGGAGTATTTAGGACATGTGGTGTCCAAGGAAGGTGTATTAGTGGACTAGTCCAAAGTTCAGGCCATGGTGAACTGTCCTCTTCCCAAGAACTTGAAAGAGTTATGTGGATTGTTAGGGCTTATGGGTTATTATCAAAATTTTGTTAAAGGAGACGATGCCATTGTGAGATCTTTAATAGAGCAGTTGAAGAAGGATAACTTCAAGTGGGGGGGGGGGGTGAGGAAGCGACACAAGCTTTCCAGAAGTTGAGAAATCCATGATCAATGTACTAGTATTAATGCTCCTAGATTTTAGGAAATCGTTTGTAGTTTAGACAGACACATCTAGTTATGGGTTGGGAGCAATACTCATGCACGACTAGAGACCTATTGTATATTTTAGCTAGGTACTCACAGCCAGGGCTAGGCTCAAGTATGTGTACGAGCGGGAGTTGATGGAGATTGTCTTGGCTATTTAGAAGTGATGACCCTGTTTGTTTGGGAGGCATTTTATAGTTAGGACAAATCAGAGGAGTCTAAAATATTTGTTGGAATAGCGGATAGTCACTGAGGAGTATCAAAGATGACCATCAAATTTGCATGGGTATGATTTTGAGATCTAGTATTGACCAAGCTTAGAAAATAAAGCAATAGACGCCTTGCCTAGGAAGGTTGAGAAGCCCCAGTTGGCAACCTTGTAAATACCTATGATCTTAGAGTGGGAAGCATTGAGACAAGAGAGTGAGCAGAATGAAGGTTTGAGAAAGATCATGGAAGAGTTAATAATGGACTCGGATAGTCACCTAGGCTACACTTTGAAGGGGGGATGATTACACTACCAGGGTAGATTTGTGTTACCCTAGGCCTCAGAATATATTCTTAAGCTACTGCAAGAGTTTGATGGCACTACGATAGGGGGACATTCAGGAGTATAGAAGACATATAGTCGACTATCAGCTAAGTTATATTGAGCAAGGATGCATTGGGATGTAGAAGATATGGTAGAAAAGTGTATTGTGAGCCAACATTATAAATACTTGACAATGGCACCTGGGGAGTTACTGCAACCAACTTTAACTGAAAGGTTATGGGAGAAAGTGACAATGAACTTCATTGAGGGTTTGCCATGCTCGGAGGGATATTCAATGATACTGGTAGTGGTAGATCATCTAAGCAAGTATGTTCATTTCTTTTTGCTGAAGCATCCCTACACCAGTATCTCAGTCGCCATAATCTTTATTTGTGAGGTAATGTGCTTACATGGCATTCCATAATCTATAATATCAGATAGAAACAAGGTGTTCCTCAGCTACTTTTAAAAAGAGTTATTCAAGATGCAAGGGACGGACCTGAAAAGGAGCACATCGTATCACCCACAGACGGATGGCCAAATTGAAGTGATCGATAGGAGTGTGGAGACATACTTGCACTGTTTTGTATATGACACACCCAAAGTATAGGCCAAATGGTTATCATGGGAAGAGTATTGGTATAACACATCTATCCACCTAGCTGCACGAAAAACCACTTTCAAAATTTTATATGTGAGGGATCCACCTCATTTGGTATTAAGATAAGATACTAGCAAAACTCAAAGGGCATCTGTTGAGAGCTCAACAACTTATGAAGAGAAAAGTAGATGAGTAGAGACTGGACGTACTGTTCGAGCTCAAGGCCAAAATTTATTTGAAACTGAGACAATAACGATAGAGGACACTGACCAAGAGGAAAAATGAGAAGTTATCAGCATGATACTTTGGTCTTATAAGGTGCCAGAGCACGTTAGGGCAGTAGCCTATCATCTAAGATTACCAGCATCATCATCAATCCACCCAGTATTCCATGTATCACAACTGAGGCATACTATCAGAGATCACACACCATCTTCCTCATTATCGGTGACTTTAACTGAGGACATCGAAGTGATTTTGGAACCCATAGAGATCATGGGAGCACGATAAGGGATGACAAGAGCAAAGGAGGTCCTAGTTCGATGGAAGGATCTACTTGATTATGAAGCTACTGGGAGCTCTACGAGACGATCAGGAAATAGTTCACATCCTTCCACCTTAAAGACAAGGAGCATTTTGAGGGAAATATTGATACAGCTGCAGGAGTGGCAGCAGAAGGGGCGAGCTAGGCCAACCCAACCAACTAGTCCAGCGGGAAGGGGAGGATAGGGTGGAACCTTGAAGAACCAGGGATATTTTGGTCCCCCCTTGTGAGGCCCAGCAAAGCTATGATTCCATATGTACGAAGAAGGAAAAGGAAGGAATAAGAAAGGAATTAATCGCTGTTTAATTCCAATTTGAATTCAAAATAAGGGAAGGAATTAATTAAGCCAATAAGACTATTTTGAGGGGGAAATAGGAAGAGTTTATTTAGAGCTAGTTATTTTGTATTTAGGTTAGGTTTTGATTGGAGTTTTATTATAGTTCTTTTTATGAGGCCTTCCTAGCGACGTCTAGGTTGTTTGGGAGAGCCACTCTACCTCTCTAAACGTAGATCACTTGTATATTTTTTTTGCATTGAAGTTATAATTCAATATCAACCATTTGTTTGGAATATTTATGTAGTTTTCTCTTCTTTCTTTCGTTGTTTTTACTTCCAAGGCGTATCAGATACTCATGATTTTCAATAGGCAGTCTTTAAAGTTACATGAAAGTACATGCATGTGATATTGATGTTTTTAGGGCATTAATTTGCATTGATGACTTACTTTTGTAGCTGTTAAGCGGCTTTTACAGTTGCCAGGCTAGAAAGAATCCTATTTCACAAAGCTAAGGTTGCAGATTCATGATTGTAATAAAAGACTAGTCTTCTAATTTTCCTATAATGGTTTCACATTTTTTGCCCTTGAAAGCAGACTTGAAACCTTTCCTATCCTTCTACTCTTCGTTGCACAATTTTTTTGTGTAATTGCTAAATTATTACACAATTTTTTGTAATCAGTCAAGCAGTTCATTTACTTTGCTAGAGTTGTAGTTTACCAAACCATTCATGATAGAGTTGACAGGCAAGATTAATGAAGAGTAAAACAAAGGCACATTACCAAAGAGCTCGTCGGGGCCATCAATAAGCACTGGGGTACTCCCGTGGGATGATAGCTGCATGCAAATGGAGGCAAAAATCTCAGAACATTAGAGAGCATTGTGATTTACGTTAAGTATAGAAATCTAAATTAATCAGAAATAAAGTTTTTTTTTTAAATTTTATTATTAAACAATAATAAATTAGAAATAAAGTTTTATGCCTGTTAAGTATCTGTTTTTTATCATTTTTTTGTTTTGTTTCATGATTTTATTTAAAAAAAATATATATTATGGTTTTTTTAATATATTTTTTTTTACCTTTCATTTGTAAAGCTAAATCATTTTATATTTTAAACAATTAAATAAATTTGAGGACTCAACTTTTAAAAACAAGTTTTATTATGGTCATTACTACTATTGGCAGTCATCGCCACCAGCAACCATGTTATGCCATCATCTTGTTGGTTACTGTTGTGGTTATCTTGTCAATGGTCACTTCCACTTATGCTTAAACTAACTTATTTGATTTTTAAATAAAAGAAATATTTTATGACACCAAATGTATATTTATTTCATCTCAAAATATAAATAAAATAAAATAAAAATAAAATTCATCCAAAAGTGCTCCTAAATTATGACCCATGTTGTTAAACTCGAGATACATGCATGTATAGATGGATTTGTTGAATCAGAATAAAAAAGGTTATTTTTAATTATTTAGTAAGATATAGGTATTTTGCATTGCTACAAATGAGTTTATCGAAATCAAGAGTAATAATTTGTGCTTCTTATCTAATTATTTGATTGAAGCCTGAATTAAAATGATTGTGGGCATTTATTAATGCTTTTGATAGTATTGCGTTCTAAGATCATATAATTACTATATTATTTGATACTCACAAACTTATCTAATTAGATAATTGCTAGCTTCTCTTTTCTTAGTTAAATTTGGTACATGTGTAAGCTAGCTTAGTACTTCTAATGTTATTGTGTAGTTAGCATATAATATATTTGTAGACTGTCATTATGATCATTTTACATTGTGTGATATTTGTAACTATTTTTAGGTCGTAGTTTATACCCATGATTGCCATATGATAGTTTTGTGCTAAAAACTATCATTTCTCTTTATCCTATAGTGTAATTGAACACTTGGGAGTAAGTTATCAGGGTGATAGGTTTTTTTAAATCATGATTATATATATAATTTTATGTGAGATAAGCAAGTGTTTAGCTAATCGTATTTTAGCTCTTTGAATTTGTGTGAGTAATTGTCATGCGATAATTGCTAATTTGTGATGACTCTGGTGTCAATTCATTAAAGTGAAGTTTGCTCGATAGCTCCCTTTACTACATGTAGCTATGATGAATAAGCGGTGGCCTTAATTTTTGATTTATTTATTTGTATTATAATGCTTTGTTTCCTTTAAAAGAGAAGCATAAATTAAGTTCAGTGTTGTAGAGACGAGGTTGCTCAAGTGGATTAGTGGCTTTACTCTTAGAGACGGAATGTAAAACAAGCATATTTATGAAAAGGATGGAGTAGCATCAATGGAAGATAAGATAAGAGAGAGTCTCCTTAGATGATATAGTCACATAAAACATCGACCTTCCAATGACCCAATTAAGAGAGTATATATATTAGATTTGGTCTATGTTAAAAAAGGTATAGGTAGACCCTAAAAGTCTTAGTTTGAAAATATTACAAATAACCTATTTTTATTATATTTAAATGAGAATTTGACTCTTTACAGGGCACAATGGATAAAAATGATTCTTGTAACCGACCTCACATAGTTGGATAAAGGCTTAATGCTGTTGTTGTATTATAATGCTTTGTTTGTGTAGGAATTGATGGGAAAGATGACTTAATTGATTGAGATTAAGTTTAAGATTTATTTAGTAAGTGACACTGTACTTTTAATATGTGATATTGATATTTATTATAACTTTTTGTTGGTCAAGATTATTCTTTTGTAATTCTGATATGAATTTCTTTTTTTTTGAGTATATCAATGTCATGTATAACTTGACGTCTCTAAGTAATTATATATGAATGAGCAGTTGTGTGAAGCGAGAATCTATTTTGAATAATCCTCACTTCATGTTTGTTAGGTGTGATGATTCACATTTTGTGCTTGCAATATTCTCTTGATGCATTGTTCCAAATATGAAATCAATTTGCAATAGATTTTTCACCTCACTTTAATTTCTCTTCTTGATAATTCTATGCAATTGATTCTTATTCTTGAATGGTCCATGTAATATGCTTGACCTTATGTTTGAATATTTATGCTAGTGTTGTAATGAAAATATGCTTTAGATCCTAGGAGTGTGCGTGAGATTTATTTACTCTTTATATGCGGTTGATTTTAATTATGAGGAATTTTTTTTCTAAAATAAACTTAATATAATAACCCCTATATAAGCTCCTGTCTTTGATTTGGTCATTAATATTTTTTATGTGCACTACTTTAACTATATATTGATTTGGATTCTTTATAATATAGGGTTTGTGGAGCGCATTGTGCTGAAGTGAGAAAATCAACTTTACGATCAAAATATTTTTCCGGTTTGTGTCATTTATCTGGAGATTTAATCTTTATTCATTAAGAGATTGATGTACATATTAGTTTTTTGTGGAATCTGATTGTATCTATCAATTGGGTTGTATTGTTGAGTTGCATATCAATTCCATCGGTCAAGCTTAAAGAGGATATAACTGGGGGGTTTCAAGGGGCGTTGTGCCCCCCCTGCTTGGGTTTTCAAGGGCAAAGCACCAAATTTTTTTTTTTTTTTTTGCAATGCAAAGGCGATATTTTTATAGTGTTGAGGTGTTGTGGGCTCATTGTACAAATATAGAATAAGTCATCATCGAGGCATTGTGGACATAGTAATACGACACTATGAACCCCTCTAAGATAAAAAATTTAGTGTCGAGGCATTGTGGACCCTCTGTGAGACAATGAACCCACCGTTGAGGACTTAAGAGCCGGCTAGGTCTTTTTTTTCTTTTCACATTGTGTGAGTTGTAACTTTATAGTGGTTATGCTCAGGCGTATGAAAATGAATGAAGGGTGAGAAAGAGTGTAAGATGAGAGAAAGATCTATACATTTTCTCTCAATTTGATGGAGGAATTTTTTGTGTGGTGTTAATTCATAATTTTTCCCATTTTAGGATTTTCCACAGAGATTATGGTGTTCTTTCTTCACTATTTTTTTTTCTTGTTTGTTTCAAATTTGTTTACGCCCAACAGTTTCGTTCCCCGTTAAGGGCTTTATTCTATGACATTTATTTGTATACTTTAATTATTGATAATATATTATAGAATATGCTTTACTTATTCATAGTAATTCATGTTGTCATTTTGATATCATGTGATAGTTAGTCTCATGTTCTTTATTACACATATTTCTATGAAGTTCATGAATATTATTTTGATTCTTGAAATGGAAATTGCGCATATAAGGAATAATTATTTCACTGTACAATCTAGTTTAATCATGATATATCTTCATTAAAAATCATTATTGTAATAAAAAATCTATGTAATATATGCATGTATGCTCGATGCATATATAGTCGATAAAACTCTTTTCATATGAGTAGACTGGATTGGCGAGTACATAGAGAAATCACTAGATTTTAGTGGAATTGATGCATACCCATTGCAATTTTAGGGTATTGTAATAAAACCAATTATTGATATATATATATATACACACACACGCATATAGAAAGAAAATAACAAATGAAGGATCTCATTTACGAATAAGTATAATATGCTTTTATGAATAAGTATAATATGCTTGTAATTGGATGTTTTTCTTACTCAAACGTAATGATTATTAGTTTTATATAATTTTTATGAACTCTAATATATAATAAGCTCTAATAAATGATTTTTATATTTAAAAATCTATATTTTTTGCACTATCTATAACTTTTATAATATAATATTCATTTTGACTTTTGCCTCTTTTATTGATCATATTTATGCCATATGCTTTACCATTTACAATTTGACTCAGCGGGTTTCACATATTAAGTTTATTTATTGTAAATTCACACATTATTTTATAGTTTTCAGGGTATTAGTTGTGCAACATCTAGAGGAAAGTCTTAAGACCAATGCTTAAAATATATCACTAAGAGATAATTAAGATTAGAAGTTACTTAGTTAATTTAATTGTGAAATTATTCATTTTATGAGTTATTATAGAAATTAAATTCCAATTGTATTTTAGTGGATAAATTTAGTAAGTATTATTGGATTTAGAAGCTCAGATTATTTTATTGTTGGACAAATCTTATTGCAACCATACTTTTACAGTTTTACTTTTGGAATTATTTCAAAATTTATCAACTCACTCCCCATCTTTCTTGGTTTTTGCATATTCATTCTAAGAATGATGATCGGGGTGTGACATATTAACATATTTTCATAGGTTTGGAAACCCGCAATAATAAAAATTTTGGTCAAAATATCCTTACAAGATATTTTCCTTTGTTTCACATTATAAGCTGAATATTTGCTACGCCACAGTGAAAAATATGATTATTTATTTGATAGGCATACATGATACCTTTGCTACTTATGCAATAAACTTGTTGTGGATTGTGAGTGAGATACTATAGTTAAACATGGCGATCAATTTGTTAGTTCCTTTACAATTTGTCTTTTCCATTTATAGTTGTCATTATGCTGTCAGATAATAGAGAAAATAGGGCCACGGAACCATGCATTGCAACTAAAAATCACCTTTTAATCTTCCAAACAGACTGAAGTTTAGAAATTATTACTGAAGTGAATTAGGCACCTTTGATATAGTCTAAGTTCATCAACTTGTTTCCTTTTTTGGGCAAGCACGAGTAACCTCAGCTAATTCTTATACTTTTTAACAATACCAACGCTTAGTTAAGTGTTATGAAATGAAAAGCACTAAACATGAGGAAGGATCCATAGTTACATACCTGTAGATTGAGGATATCTTGGGACATTCTCATGCCTTTGTTCATGTCCTCAAGTTCAAACTTAATTTCCTTTTCATTTAGGCATGCCAGCACTCTTGCCAGGTCTGGAAGCATAGGTTTCCCATATATCACCTTAACCATTGGTGTTGCTGCCATAGGCTTAAGAGGAGTAGAATAAGAAAGTTCCCTACTGCCTGTTCTCTCCTTCAACAGTTGCACTGCCCTCTCTCAGTTTACTGCATTCCACTGTCTATTGACAAAGATGGGACACTCGGCTCTAAAATAGGATTAGAAAACAAATACAATCAGGAGAATGCTAAGAAAGATAAAGGTAAAAGAAAAAGGAAAAGGGAAAGATGTACATTAAGAGAATGAGTGCAGCCTTCCAAAGTAAAGAGCAGTTCTAGCTTTCTCCATAGAGCAGTCCAAAAACCAGATGGTCTCTTCACTGTGTGGACAGGCTTTGATGTCATTAAAGAAATTATTTATTACTTTATGAAAGCAGCAATGTACAATCAAGTTTAAAGGGTAATTCTTTAAACAAAGAGCACATTAAAGAACAATGTTTCATGTTCAGGGGGTGTTTGTATAGTGGTCCATCAAGGCTAAATGTGGTCTCTTCCTACTGAAGCTAGAAGGAAAACGTACTCTGCTATCTCTTTTATTGGCTGTTTCATATTTAAACTCTACCATCTATTTTGATGCATTTGATTTTTAACTTGGCTATGGTCAGTAAATAACATCTTTGCTTTGATATGGAGAGACAATCACAGAGTTTTTTTAACCAAAACTGAATGAACAAATAGTAAAGAATGACAAGGGAGTTAACATTTAATTTCTCAACCCTTATTTGTTCCTAATCAAACATTAATTACGCAAATGAGTAAAATTTTCTTTGATATGAAAATTAGATTTCTTGGTTTAAGATCATGTTATATTGGAAGTTTGGGGAAGTTCTAGTTGTTCACAATTCCCCAGCACACCAAAAACCTCTAAAATCAGAGTTTGTCAGATCTTCGTCACCATAGATCATCTTATTACCGACCCCCCCCCCCCCTCCCCTTTTTTTTTGTTTCTTTATGGGAGACCCTCACGTGCTATTCGGAAGGTAGAAGGCAAAGCCATATAAGATATTACAGATTTGCATATATTCTTGATCTACTTGTTGTGTGCGTTAAAAGATTATTGATGATACAGATAAATATGAGCTGATCTTACATTTTATATTGACTAAGCTCATCATCATCAGCCATATCCTAAGTTCTTAGCTATGCAGAATTGGCTTATTTATCATTGATGAGCTTTGCAAGCTTAATTATTAGAGTTATATTATGTTCTCTCCTAATTTAGTTGTTTGATAGTTGGAACCTTTTACTTTACAGGAATTAAGAGTAGAACGAATTTGGCAGTTGATTTTGATTCTTTTTGACACAAGTGATAAGCTGTTGTATATTCTGATCACTTTCAGTTTTTCTTTTAGTACTTAACTCTCTATGGTCTGATGGTTGAGAACTTTTACTACCAACTAAGATATCTTAGTTTCAAGTCTTACAATTATAATGTGTGTATTAGTTTACCTAAGAATCAAAATCACTAAGAACCAAAATGTTCCAAAAAAAAAGTTTTTTATAGCATATGAATTATGTATTTGCTTTCGGTTGTTTCACTAAGAATCATCACTCAAGTTTGTAGTTTTTATCTTTTAGAAGACAATGTTTTTTGAGAAGCTATGAGTTCAACTTTTGCTTTATGCGTTCTGATTCAAACTGAACAAGTTAATTGCTAAACGCTTGCTTCTATGAGAGAGCACTTTCTTATAAATTTTGCTGCCTCGTTCTTCAATTACTGATGGCCGTTAAATTATCATTTTCATTCAGTCTGGAAATAATAGCTTAAATCAAACTTGATCTTGTATTTTTGCAATGAAGATATGGAAAGAGTGCAGACAAACTTCTAATTTTTGGACGTAGCCAGAAGGTATCAGGAAACAATTTTAACGAGCAAAGGGATGTTAAGTTGTTTAAAGGCCTATCAACATGCTCTGTTTTCATAATCAGCAAGTCATGCACACATCCGACTCGCAAAAGGATTGCATTTCTTTCTCTTCCTCTTGTTAATCTAATCGTTAAAAGCAAGCCTGTTTTCATCTGAAGGGAGAAGAACTAGGCGGTGATGCTTTCAATAAATTAGTTTGAACTCTCAAAGAAATATACTATACTCTATATATATATATATATATATATTTAAAAGAGACTCTTTACACTGTTTTTTGCCTTCCAACTTCTTGAGTTGTTCTTTGTGGGTGAACTCGCTGCTCACGGTGATGAAGCCCATAAACTATCTATCAAACATCATAAATTGTTTATGACTATTAGATTAAAAGCACTTGCATTCCAATGAATAACTGTGAAATTACAACTTTCTTCATAGACCAACCTCTTCAACAGAACAAAGTGAACTTAGACCTTCATTCCTATTTATAAATTTTATACTTGACACTACAGAAACACAGAAGCTTAACGCCACACAGAAACGAAGCAGCATATTCCTGAAGCTACTGCCAGATAAGTACCGATTTGACTCACACACAGTAAACAAGCAAGAAAAATGAAAACAATGTAAGCCATGTATCATTTAAGCCACTGCTGGAGCTTCCTTCTGCAATTCCACCACCCTAGTCCACTTTGGGCGGCTTGAGATCGCCTCCCACCACTTCATCACATTGGGTCGCTCCTGAAACATGGCGGCACATTCTGGCACCATGGTCATCAGGCGGTGGGTGTTTGGGAGGTGCGCAAGGTCTGCTAGAGTAAAATTATCCCCTGCCAGGAAGCTCATTTCGTTGAGTCTCTTGTCGTAGATATCAAGCACCTTCTCCAGCTCCTTCTTGCTCTTCTGCACTTCCTCCTCATCCCTCTCAATGCCCTGAAATGGTGCAAATGCAAGATAGAATACAAGTGTAGAGCTTGGAGGGTCAAAGATCTGTGACTCGGTCCTCAGCCACTGTTCTATTGACGCCCTTTCAAGCCTACCTCTCCCCAGCAAGTCCTTGTTCCCCTGCTCGGCGTAAGTGTTGGCTACGTGCAGGCATATAGCCCTTGAATCTATCACAAGTCATAACAGATGATAAGAAGAGATGCAAAAGCAATTATTAGTTTTGCTTTGCTTACCTACTAAAGTGTTCTTGCTATCTTCATAGGTGAGAGATTCGCCTGATGGCTGCAAAGGTGGAAACATAAGCATTCTATTTAGTGTTTTCGAAATAGAATGTAACTAGTTAAGAAATTTGCACAGTTATTAATGAAACAGGATGGTCTACTTGAAGACTACTTGGTAGAGAATTCAAATATTGTTTCTAGTGATACAAATACCTGTAGCTTGAGATAATCTGGTCTCCTGTTTTTGCCTTTGTAGGTATCAGTGCGAATGAGCTGGAACTCAACTTCCTTCTCGAAGAGGCACGTCAGAACCCGAGCTACCTCAGCAGAAGCTGGTGATCCGAAAACCTGCACACTTGCCATTTGAGTTCAAAGAAATTAACAAAGAATTGATGGTAAGAATCTTGGGACTCCTTGAAAGATAATTGAGGGGGAAGGGGGAGGCCTTAAGATAAGCAAGAGATGTGTGAAAAGAAATGTGAAAACAAAAAAAAAATTAAAAAAAAAAGTGAAATTAATCACGTGAAAGAAGAAAATACAGATAAATGAAAAAGATAAAGGACTGGCAAGTATTTGTTTGAGTAGCAGCTTAGGAACTACTAATGAACACTATTCTTGTTAGAGAAAAAAGTAAAGCAAAAACCAAAGCAAAAGAGAACAAAAGATAAAGAGAAAGAGCTGAGGATCTGGGCTTTAAGTTTGCCTCATGAAATATTATATTTTTTAGGACGTCTTCTTGGCTCTGTAGCAAATGGTAAAGACTTACTCGCTTGAATCATCAGCCTTCATTCAGCCTATGCATGGTTAGCAACGGCCGTCTTTTTAAATCAAAGTGTATTCCTCACTTTGAACGCTATTATTGAAACAGTCAATTAAAGATGAAAGGTTGCAACTCGCAAAGCAAGATAAATTAAAAAAAAAAAAAGAAGAACATTTTTCCGAAGACGCTGATTCAACCGAGTGAGGGGAACATGGAAGCTGGTGTTGATGTCTTCTTTTACTTATACCATCATCATTTAATCTTCAGGTGCTTAAGGGGGCATTAAGATTTGGTTAAATCTTGCTATTGAAGTATTAATCATAGGTTGATTTCAAAATGTATGCGACATTGTTTATGAGATTAAGTCTTCATTTAGAATGATTTTTTTTAAAAGTTTTTTAGTACAATAAATAAAAAAATTTGTGTACTAAAAAGTGGATTAAGAAGTAATAAGGCAATCATAATAACTTTGAGGGCTAACATCCTACACAATAGAAGATCTCTAGACTAATTGGTATACACGTTGCTACCAAATTTTTAATAGCAGAATTGAACAACATAAAACTTAATTCAAAGGTTGGTAAGAATGCAATATAAAATAATAATAATAATAAAATTGTTAGATTACACGTTCTTATTCTTATTATGCACATTCTATCTCTTGCTCTTTCTTCTTCTTCCTCTTATCCCCTTTCTTATCCTCCGTTAGTTTGTTTCTTTCTCTTCCTCTAAGCATGTAAGCTTTGAGAACTATAATCATTGCCTCCATGTAAGTAACAAATAAATAATCAATTAATAATATTAAAATCACTCAAATTGTAAAATAAATTAATAAGTTGTGATTGCACATATCATAGGTTGATAATGCATTTTAAATTGTTACAAAAATTCTTTCATCTCAACATGCAGTTAGCTCACCATTCTTATCTCAGATTGCAATCCATACACCTCTTCGAATCTTATAACTCTAACTATGTAGAGTTTTAAACTTCTAATGACTTTGACAAAAAGTAAATTGAAGATATAACTCTAGTGACAATTTGACTTCCATTGATCCTTGATGGCGCATATTTTGAGTTCCTTTGTACTATCAAAATAATGACTCTATCGATTAAATATATAACTTGCTATTACTCAGCATTGATGACCCATAAAAGAAAGTTTCTTATCATTATATAACCATAAAAAAATTCTATATTTTGATCACAACAAGGACAAGAAAACATTTATTTGTTACTCCAACTTCATAACATACAAAATGCTAGAAAAGCATTAATAGTTTACATATATATCACATACATATTGAAATTTTACCCACTTGCAGAATTAAAGCAGTAAACTCTATATCATAATTCAAATAAGTGATGAATTGATGGTTGATTATAAACATCAACATTATTTCATGGGTTTTGCTCTCCTAGTACTATCAAAGATTGAATGAAAGAAGTTTGTTTAATTCCAATCCAAGGAGGCAGGGGCGGATCCAGCCTTAATTTTCAGGGGGAACAAAAAGTGTAGAGGTTTTTTTTTTGTCTTAAAGTCGGCTCAATCCCTATTTATTTATATCCTTGATTATTGTATGTTACCTTTGTGAAACCCCTCACAAACTCCCCCTCACAAGATCCTATCTCTCTCTCTTCCTTGCTCTCCCTCTTATCTTTGCTCTCTTAGGTCAGGACAACAACAAAAGATCTCATCTTGAGAAAACAAGAGATCTTAAATAGAAGGGCTTCAAATTTGCCCTAATTTGCAACTAATCGTCAAAGATCGTCCATGATGATTGACTGATCATCCTGTACGGTCAGATGAAATTCAACTCAATCATCTAGAATGATTTAGGAGAGTCTGGACAATTAAAAGGTTCCTTTATTCATATCATTCAGGATGATAGGATATCATTAGTTCAAGTCATCCAATATTGTCCGGACCATCGCCCTAGATGGATGTCTGGATGATGAAAAAATAACTTGATCGTCCAGGATGATCTCATATATTGCCCAAAATATTGCCCTGGATGGATGTATGGACGATGAAAAAGTAACTTAATTGTCCAGGACAATTTTGGATCGTCCTGGACGATTAGTTGAAATAAATACATATCGTCCAGAGCATCGTTCAGGTCATTTAGAAAGAACTAAGGTTTGTTTAAATGATCATCCCGAATGATATAATCAAGAAATCAAACCTTAATTGTTTTTCTTAATTATCAAATTAATTTAGGCATAATTTTAGTGCATCATCCAGGATGATGTGCAAAAATAAAACATGCCTAAAATGTTGTGGGGGCTTATTCTTTCAGATTTGAGCCTATCATCCCAGATAATGATAATATCATCTAAGACGATTTGCTTAATTATGGCTGCCTTAACCATGATGCCCTAATTATGATTTCTTTTTTTAACTGATCATCTAGGATAATTTTGGATCGTCCCGAATGATGTGATATAAAAAAAAAACACTAACAAATATACAAAAATTTTCTAAGACTTAGCATTAGGATCCACTTTATTACAATTGACTAAAGGAAAGGTAAAAAGCCCTTACAGACTGACTCACACCTGGTCTACCCAATCTTGAGATGGATTAATTAGTACTCGACCTTGTGGACTTGATATATTAGTAGGCAAGAGAGTTGTAGAAAAATAGAAGTAACAAAAATATTTGCTATCATCGAAATTACTGAAATCAGATTTGCAACAAAGAACATAAGTTGACCAATTGACCACTTTAGGGTTTAAATGTGCATTCAAAAAAATGACAATCCCATGGCTTGAGACTTCCATCATTGGTCTCAATGCATCAATCCAAACCTATTGGACCTAACCTGAAACTTTAGGTCAACTTGGTTGACTAAGTCAACCAAGTTTGACCGATGTAAAAACACTTTAACCTTATTTAAACCATTTGACCAAGGCTTGATTAAGCCAATTTGGACCTTTAGGATGATCTGTTAGGTCCCTAGGACCCCCTTAGAAAATCTAACCTTTGGATCCACTTGATTTATCCAAATGGCTTGGCTCAAGTGCCCAAAGAGGGTTCTCCTTGAGCCAAAGCTTAGATAAAGGTAAAGCAAATTAAACCAATGCTTGCGTTGGGTCCCCCAAAACCCGTTGCACATACAATAGTTGGTCTAGCGCTTGAATCAACTTAGGTTAGGAATTGAGCTAGTCAAAAGTGGAAAAAGTCACCTTCGGCTGAGCCAATTTTGAACCTAGGCCATATCAAGCCTAATCGATGCTTGAATTGGATCCCATATGACCCAATACATCTCTCATGGTCATCCCAGCCCCTTATGTGACCAGGGTCAGGACCTAAATTGACTCAAACCATCCAATTTTAGATCAACCCAAGCCTCCTTAGGCAATTTGGCTTCACCATGCCAAGTTGAGCTCAATTTTGAGCTTACCATGTGTGGTCCTCTCATCACATAAGTCAACCCTAAAAGTTTGACAGTAATGTTAAGCCCTTATGAACTAGCCCAATGTTAACCAAAAGGGATGGTGAATTGGTTTTTTAAAAAAATTCTTTGATCGAAACAAAAAATTCAAACCAAAGTTTACCACAAAGAAATCAAAGTATGGAAATTAAACGCAGAAGCAGTAATAAAGAACACAGAGATTTATAGTGGTTTGGTCAACTCGACCTATGTCCACTCCCCGGAGGTGCCCTTGGAGTATTGCACTAAACTCAGTGACTCTCCTTTTGCTCCGACAGCAAGACGGAGAAGCATGTACAAACCTCTTTTTTATTAATCTCGATGAGGTAGAGAACTCAACTCCTTTAGCTTTCTCCAGAAGCAGGCAGAAAACCTTAACTCTTTTTGCTTCCTCCTTAAGCAGATAGAGAACCTTGATCAGTTACTGAAGTAGACCTCTCTAAAACCCCCAAGGAACTAGCAATGACAACCGAAGAAGACGATGATGGATCCTTTCTTGGAACAACTTTTGTGAAACCCACAAACTCCCCCTCACAAGATCCTCTCTCTCTCTCTCTCCCTTGCTCTCCCTCTCATCTTGGCTCTCTCAGGTCAGAATAATAGTAAAAGATGATCTCTTGGGTAGAACGAGGTCTTAAGTAAAAGAGCTTCAGAATTGCTCTTAGTTGCAATAAATTGACTTTATCATCCAGGATGATATAAATATCATCCTGTACAATCAATACAAATTTATCTCAATCAATCACGATGATTTGGGATGATTAGAAGGTTTTTGTTCATATCATCCAGGATGATAGTATATCATCCTATACTATTAGTACAAGTTATTGAATATCATCCAGAACATCACTCTAAATGGATGTCTGGACGATGGAAAAATAACCTGATCATCCAGGCCGATCTCACGATCGTCCTGGACGATTAGTTCAATTCATTGCATATCTCCCAGAGCATCGCCTTAAATAGAAGCTGGCCGATGTTTGATCATTCAGGAACAACTAAGGTTTTTGTAATGATCTTCTCGACTGATCCTGCTATCATCCAAGATGATATAATCGAGCAATCGAACCTTAATTGCTTTTCTTAATTACCAGATTAATTTAGGCATAATTGCATTGCATCTTTCAAGATGATGTCCTGGACAATATCCAAAAATAAAAGCTACCTAAATAGTTCTGACAGTTAAATCTTTCTGATTTGAGCCTATCTTCCCGGCCGATACAAATATCGTCTAGGACGGTGTACTTAATGATGCTGCCTTAAACAGGATGCCCTAATTAGGGTTTCTATTTTTAACTGATCATCTAGGCCAATTTTTTGGATCATCCCGGACGATGTGAGTAAAACCAAAAAAACTCTAAAACAATCAAAAAGTTTCTCACAAGTGTGTGTGTGCAATGTTACTTAGCATCAGGACCCACAATATTACAATGGGCTCAAGAAAAGGTAAAAGATACAGTTTCGTATATTATAAACTGACTCAATCTTAACCTACCCAATCTTGAGTTGGTTGAACTTGTAGTTTGATCTTATGGACCTAAAGTGTTAGTATTCAAGACAGTCGTAGAGTAATAGAAGTGTTTGCTATCATCAAAATTTTATTCCTTGAAACCAGATTCGTAACAAAGCCCGGGTGCATTTTGACCTGAGCTCAACTCCTTTGAGCTCAGGAGGATCTATGCGGACATCCCTTCCAGCTGGCAAGCATCCATAAGCTCACCTAGGCCATCCCTACCATCAAAAGGTATGGAGATGGTTTGAATAGGTCACCCTAGTCTAGAGTTCTCTGTCACATCATTTTATTTTGAATCGGTCACCCTAG